ATCCCCCCACCCCCCCAAGGGAGCATTGCCTAGAGGAGTGTTGTGGCAGGAGGTGGCACTAGCCACACGTGCTTGTCCCTCTGAGACTGTCTGTGATCCTGCTGTGGGTTAATCCCACCACTCCTTGTGCTTTTCTGCAGAGGGGTCCTCTTCAAGAGCTGACCCGAGCCTTTCCCAATGTGTTGGGAGGATCAGACCATCCCAGTATTTGAGCATCTGGATGTTCTGACCCTGAACTATACCCTGAAAGCTTCCCGTGGCTGAGAGGCACCAGGCATGGAGTACATTGGAGGAGAGACAATCCTCTGAGCCCATGTTCTCTGGAGCCCGCATCCCATCTCTCTGCTCTGGACTCTCCCCAGCCTCATCCATCTTGAAGTGTGGTACCTTCAACAGGGTGTGCTGTTGCTTTGGCCTACCAGGGTTGAACCAGACAGGTGATGAGGGGGTGTGTGTCACAGGTGGCACAGCCTCATCTTGGATCCTAGTATGCAGAACTGCCTTTCCACCTGGGCACCTGATTACTCCCAGCTAGAAAAACTCCTGTTTTCTCCTCCTACCTATAAATAGGGCCACACAGCCACCTCACTGAGTTTCCTTCTGTGGTCTCAGATGACTGATTTAGCATAAATGATATTTGCTGTCCCCTCCATCCTAGCATTGTGGGGTTTTGGAGGATGGCCGGGCTGTGCCTCCGTGGGGACAGATGGCAAGGAGCCAGGCAAGGAGGACACAACCAGCATGCTGCCACCAGATAAGGGGACCTGTGTCCAGACAAAGCCACGGCAGCTCTGCCTTGGGATATGGAGCACACAGAGAAAGTGGCTCTGTACAATCTACAATCCATCCATTAATCAAGGATGTAAAATCCACATGAGGAAGTTTGCACATTGTCTAGGGGCTGCAGGCAAAGGCAAGGCTGCACAGTGGGAAAGATGTTTGCATGATGAGCCCTGGGTCCTACTGCCTCTGCCATGCCATGCAGACCTGCCTGCACCCCGTCCCTTGTTTCCCAGAGTGGCTCAAATTGTTGAGTCCAGTCTTCTCCAAAACTGTTCGTGTTGAGTGTAGCAGATCTGGATGTTCAAAGATCAAATTGTTTTGCAAATAATTCTAAATTTTAGATCTCGGCAGCTGTTTAAGGCCTGATCGATGGACTCAATGATCTTAAAGATCTTTTCCAACCAAGTGATTCTATGATTCTGTGATCCTGATGACCTGGAGTGAAGCTGCTGCCTTATTTTCTTGTGCACTGTTGCTTATGGGGAAAATGGAAGTTTTTGACCTGTACATTTACCATTTCTTATTTTAGAGCCTACAGCTGCATCCTTTTTGTTTCAAGCCATTACATTTCCCAGAGCCCTGCTTTGACACTCTGGGTATGGCAGGTTTTTAAGCATGGAGATCAGTATGGTGTACAGCCTTGAGACAGGCTGCACGAATATTTTTGTATAAGGGCATCACAATGTTTTCTTCTCTTACTGTGTTCCACACTCACACCTTGTTTCCTTTGCACCCAACTAATTTGATAGAATAAATTACTCTGAATTCCCCATTAACACGGTTGTGCTACCAAAAGATTTAGAAGATATAAGCTGCTAAAGGTGTTTATTATGTTCGTTTGTACAGACATTATTTTTTTGTCCTTTAAATGGACTGACTCCCTTTCTTTCCTTCCTGCAGCAGTGAATTCCCGAGGTTAATTACATGCTGTGTAACAAAGCCATTATTTCTTTTTGTGCCTTTGGTTGTGTTCTTTTTCATGTCTGGAAAAATGAGCTGGGAGAATAAAAGCTCTGCACAGAAGTGCATTAAAGTCAGTGGGCTTTGGCTCATGCCCAGAAAGAAAAGCGGTGGACGGTTGAATTCCAGGGCAGGCTCGAGTGATTGTGTTTTAGGTTTTTCCAGCAGTGTTGGCACTGCTTTCAGGTTTGATTCTCAGTATTCAGATAGGGGAAAAGCAGATCCCCTCCAGGACTGGCACAGAGGCATAACGTGCTGTCTCCCTCTTCCCAGGTAAACGGCAGCGATGGGATGTTCAAATATGAGGAGATTGTCTTGGAAAGGGTAAGTGCTCTTTGCTCACCCACTGGCAGCCTTTGCTGCCTCTTCCCACTCCCTGCAGCACTCCCCACATCCCTGTGCCAGCTGATGGGGAGAGGTTGGTCTCTGCTCCCCACCCTCTCCAGAGGCTCTTGGGAGTGTCACGCTTGGCTTCCCCGCACGCCCCCTTGGCTTGGGGAGAGATGCCCTTGCTGCTCTCACCCCCGCAGACCCCTCCAGAAGGGAGGGAGGAAGGCTTCTCCCTCGCCTCCCTCGTTCACACCTTCGCCCCCACAGAGCCGCCAGCGCGGAGCCAGGGAGGAGGCTCTTTGTCACCGCCTTTGACAGCAAACGGAGGTGCAGGGAGCTCTGCTCATGCAGGAGCACAGGCAGGTGCACCCCACAGCCGGGCACAGGGGACTGATGCCTCCCTGCCACTGGACTCCCTGTCATTCCAGCACAGCCCGGGGTTGCTAAGTGGGATGGATGGGATTTTTAGCAAGCCAGACAACAACGGGGGGAGTTTCTGCTTGAGCCTTTTCCTGTCTGTTAGCAACACGGAGCTGATGGTGTGCAGCACAGGAGCTGTGGCTGAAATCACCCCCCCAAGAGATGGGGCTTACCCAGGGGCAAGCTGGGCACCCTGCAGGGCAGGGAGGGCTTTCCCCTGGTGCCCAGGGAGCGGCAAGAATGGAGAGGGAGCAGGGAAAACTGGCCCAAAGTTTAGTGCGAGAGGCGGGCAGAGCCCTGCTGAGTGGGGATGGCTGGGGTGGGAGGCTGCCTGCGCTGCTCCATGGCACACCTTGCCTCCTCCTCCTCGCTGCCACGCCAGGTGGCTCGGCCCAGCCGTGTGGCTGGCATCACAGGGGAAGACGCATCACTCGTTATTCTGTTCCTCTGCCTTTAGTCATCTCCCTCCTCCCCTGGGCTCTGCATCATGGAGGTGGGCGGATGGAAGGTTATCTGGGGCTGCCGCCTCACCCACTGCTTCCCTGGAGTGCCTGATGAAACCAGCCCAGAGGATGCTTCCTTTTTGGGCTGAGTGCTTCTTGCTCCATGTCCAACTTATGGACAAAAGCCTTGTTTTCAGGGATTCTTCAGAGCACCTTCTGTCCTCAGCCCTCAGTGGGAGCAGGGGGGCAGCTGGCAGGGTCACGTAGAGAGGCAGCATGCATTGCTGCCCCTGCTTCAAAGCCCCAGGCAGTGATTCCCTCTCCAGCAGCAAGAAACCATGAGGGAATTTCAGTGCTTAGCAGCCAGGACCAGCATGGACCATAGCCAGGTCCTTCCCCTACACCTGATCTTCAGTGGGATTCAACAGCCTCGTCTTACTGCAGGAGAAGCACCCTGGTACATGTGGGTGAGACTGTTTGTGGAGTGTTTGGCTTCCAGAGATGACCTCAGCGTACCCCAAAATTGCTAGTCTGTCACTGTTATTTATCCTTGCCCTTGTTATAAAGGCAAGGGCAAATGCAGAAGTGTTTTGGGGGCAGTAATTGAAGGAACACTGTCCACAGAGGGACATGGCATTGGGTTTACCCACCATACACGTGTCTGCAGCAGAGGAGCTTCTGCCATGTCTACATCAAACCCGATGCTAACTGAAGAAGGTTTATCAAAATAAAAATAAGTCATTTTCAGGTCTTGTAGCTACCATTAGAGTGCACCCTTCCATAGACAGGCACAATGAATGGCTGGAGACCGTTTTACACAGTTTGATGGGCCTTGCTGGGGCCAGGCTGGGTCTCCAGTGACAGTAAGCAGCTCTTATGAGCTGGGCATGGGGTAACCAGAACCCAGATAAGAGGAAGGAAGGCAACCTCAGACATTTCACCATTAAGTGCCTCTTTGTCACGTGCTGGCCAAATCACAGCTGGCAGGAGAGCATCCAGGAGTGTTGCATAGCGACAGGCATTGGTGACTCCCAGAGATGCCACATGCTGTGTTATGGGTGTTATAAAGCCAGAGCAGAGACCTCTGTGCCAGCACAAGAGCTGATGCTGAGTCCAAATTGCGGGGGAGAAGCACAAGCCCTGGCTGGCTGCTGGTGCTAGATGATCCCAAGGATCCTGAGCTCTGGTGTGGCTCTTCTGGCCACAGCTTCCCCAAAAGGGCAGAGCTCCCCATCACCTGACACTGGGCATTGGGCGTGTAGACAGCTGGGAGCGTGCTTGGCCCGAGCCTGTTTGTGTGTGAGAGAGGCAGGCACGATAGGATGTGACTAAGTGTCAGCTTTTCCACAGGAGAAAACAAGGCAAGGAGCTATCTGATTTTCAAAGCAGAGCAGAAAAAGCAGAAATTGTCTGCTTGCACCAAGCATGGAGCTGGAAGCGGCCGCTGTGAGTGTGTCACTAATGGAGATCCTGCAAGTAGGAGAAGCAATGCAGGGCCAGGGCAGCTTATCCTGGGAGGCTGCTGGGATGGGGCTAGAGATATCCATGGCCCC